CCAAAAGATATCGGATCCTTGCTCATGATGCGCCAAAAGAAAAGGAGCTCCATTAGTATGCAACTTGGTACTAGGAATTGGTCAATGAAGTGGAGGGCTATACAGAAACTATGGTAGCCGCCACATTTATACTCGAACTTTCCTAGGAAATGGATCTATATTGGTCGCTAACCAAGAGAACTCCAGCTGATATAGGGGATCTCATGGCGGGTATTGACAAGTATTCCAAGGTCAAAGATGAGGCAATCGGGTCCCAAGGAAAGAAAGGTGCACCTGGTCAGAAAGAGACGAATCTTTTAACCAACAAAGGAGGCTCTTCGCAAGCTCCCGCCTAGGTCTTGTTTGAGTGGCCTCCAAAGATGCAAGATAACCTATCAACCCGCAACTCTACTGCTCGGTATTCTTATCATCAGGACACCAGGCATCTTACAAAGGACTATCGAGTATATAAGGCATTTCTCTAGAAGTTAGTCTAGAAGGGACACCTCTGAGAATTCATCCTCGATGAGAATGAGAAACACCCCAATATGCGAACCAGAGAGACTACAACAATCATCAAGGTGATACATGCTTGTCCAAATGATCGACCGACCAGCAACTCATTAAGGTGAGAGCTCTAGAGGGTCGCTCAGGCCATGAGGGTGGAGGAAGAAAAGTTTGAGTTTCCTTTGTCCAAGAAGTCCCGTAACAAATTGAACTCAATATCTTTTAGTGATCCCGGCCTAGCTGGCATCATTTTGCCACAAGACAATGCCTTCATCATCAAACTTAGAATAAAGAAGTTTGATGTGAGATGCAATCTCTTTAACTTGGGAAGTTCATCAAAAGTCATGTATCAAAATTTTTTTTAGAAGATGAGGTATACATCCAAAAACTTGAAACCTGTGAAAACCTCTCTGGTCAAATTTAATGGGTCGTATTCCCTACCACTTGGGAGAATATCCCTCTCGGTCACAATCGGGATCATCACGTTCCTAATAGACTTCATTGTAACAGAGTCAGACTCCCCCTTACAATGCAATTATAGGGAGGACACGACTACATGCCTTGAAAGTTGTCCACTTATCCTACCATCAAAAGATTAAGTTTTCAACCCCCTAGGGGATCATGGAAATATGTGAGGACTAGGCCGTTTCCAAAATCTATTTTTATGCAGCCCTCAAGGAAAGGGCGAACGCCAAGGGTAAGGACTAGGACCAGGAGGCGGTCTCAGTGAAATAGAAAACAAAGACTGGTCAACTCAGCGTTGATGAACCCCAAGTTGATCCAGTCGACAGGTCAATTGAGGACGTCGTCACCATCTACCACAACCCGAATGACCGAGAGAAGTTCTTCCTCATTAGGTCTTCCCTGACATTGGCCTAATAGAAAGAGATGATTGAATTCATCTAGAATGATTCTGACATATTTTATGGTACTCCAAATAAGTTGAAGGGACTGAACCCATAGATCATACATCACCGATTGCATATGGACACTGCCCATAAACCTGTTAAATAGAAGTCCTAACATTTAACGCCTTATCATGTTCAAGCTAGCAATGAAGTAGTCGAACAGTTGTTAGAAGCCAACTCCATTAGGGAAGTGTAGTTCCCGATAAGGCTCTGCAACACTGTCTACGCCAAGAAAAAGAATGAAAAATGGCACGTATGCGTGGATTTCAAAGATCTGAACAAGGTGTTCCCTAAAAATGATCCCTTACCTAAGATGGACCAACTGGTAGACACCACAGTTGGGCTCGGACGTATGACATTCATGGACACTTGGGCAGGATATCAAATGGACACTTGGGCGGGATATCACCATATCCTATTAAATGGAGCTGACCAGGAGAAAAAAATCTTCATAACCCCTCGAGGAGTGTACTATTATAAATTCATGTCATTCGAATTGAAAAACTCTTGAGCCACTTATGTATAGTTGATGGACCAAATGTTCAAACATCAGATCGGGGTTACCATGGAAGTCTATATCAATGATATGCTTATGAAAATTTGACACCAATTGACCATTTGAAAGACCTTGCCTCAACTTTCCAAACACTTTGACATTTTGGGTTGAAACTAAATGCTTCAAAATGTTCTTTTGGCATCAGTTCGGGTAAGTTCATCGGGTATCTAGTTACACGTCGTGGAATAGAAGCTAACCCGAGTAGATACAATCTCTTCTAGACATACAAAGTCCTAGAACTGTTAAAAGTAGCCAAAGGCTTATCGAGATGCTAGAGGCCCTTAACCCACTTCATATCCAAGTCCTCAAAAAATGAAAACCCTTATTTTAGGCACTAAAGAAAACCCATGGGGATATGTGGAATGACAATTGTGAATCAGGGTTGTGCCAAAGTCCGATGAGTCCTTTACCTATACATGTTCATCTCAGAATATGAAGTTAATGGGGCAATGGTCTGGTAGCATGAATGTAAATAGAGGTCGATGTATTTTGTCAGTAAAACCATCTTGAACGCTAAGACGATATACACCTATTTGGAGAGGGTGGCTTTGGTCCTGGTGACCGCAGTTAGAAAGTTGAGACACTATTTCCAGGTGCATCCCATTTGTTGTCCTCACTAACCAACCATCAATGGTCGTCCTCCCAAAATTGGACCTTTTGGGAGAATATTTTGAGTTAGGTAAATTTGACATCCCATACCAGTCTCAAGTATCCATTAAAGGAAAATTCTTGACAGATTTCATCGTTGAGTTCACTGCTCCAAACATTCCATTAGAGGAACCACAGGATCAAGAGCTACAAAATGTCGCGGGGGCATGGAAACTTCATATGGATGGATCCACTAATGCTCAAGGGGCAGGGATAGGTATTGTCCTCACCATCCCTCATGATCACACCATCCCTAATGATCACACCAACGAGCATGCAATTCAACTAGGTTTGAAAGCCTTAAATAACGACATGGCCTAAGCAGTCAATGAAGAATGCTTACTTGTTTTTTGTGACTCTTAGGTAGTTAATCAGATCAATGGGGAATATGAAGCTAGGGACACCCAAATTAAAGCCTACCATCAAAAGGCATATGCCTTGGCAAAAGAATTTGATGAGATCTGGGTGTCCCTAATCTCTCCAGATCACAATAGTCCTACTTTAGCCTTGGCTAGTCTTGTCTCCGTGCTCAACTCGGAGATCGCCCAAAGGATAGCAGTGGAATATTTTTCACAATCCAATGTGCTCGATTCAATGACCATCAACATCCTTTCCATCTTGCTAGGAAAAGTCGAATCTGGCTGGATTGATCCTATAATTAAATATCTGGAGATTAGGGAATTGCCTGAATGCCATAAGGAAGCTCAAAAAATTAGGCTCAAAAGACTAAGATTTTGGGTTTCACTGGACCAAAAATTGTAACAAAATTTATTTTCGAGACCCCACCTAATATGTATTCCTCGCGGGAGATTACTCTTTAGAGCATCGGGCAATGTCTCAGGGTAACTGGTGGCCCTATATGTAGAAAGATGCAAAGCTATATGTGTAGAAATGTGCCAAATGCCAAGAGTATGCACCCATCATTCAAAAACTTTTCAGGGACCTCAATCCCTTTACCAGTCCATGGCCATTTGCACAGTAGGGGATGGATATAGTCGAGCCTTTACCAAAAGCCCCTACAAACAAGAGGTTTCTCCGATTACCATAGATTACTTCACGAAATGGATTGAAGTCTAGCCTTTAAGCTACATACGTGATACCAAGACTAAGTTTGTGTGGAAAAACACTATTATTAAGCTTGGCATCCCTCGAGTCATCATCTCTGACAACATCACTTAATTCAACAATGGCTCTTTCAAACGATTTTGTGAAAACTTCGGTATTAGGAATTACTACTCAACCCCAACTTATCCACAATGCAATGGACAAGCTAAGGTATCCAACAAGACCATCCTTTCTAGGTCAAAACATGGATACAAAGAGCCAAAAGAAGGTGGACCGAAGAATTTCTTAATGTACTATGGGGCTACTGAACTACTCCTCGATCCTCAACGGGGGAAACCCTGTATGTTCTGGCTTATGGGATGGAGGTAATAATACCACTAGAAGTTGAGCTCCCTACCATTTGAAGTCAAGCCTTTGAATCCAATTTGAATAATCAAATGATATTTAGAGACCTAGGCCTCGCCGAGGAAAGAAGGGATCTCGCCGATGTTCAACTGATGAAGTACCAAGGGGATTTATTTAAACAGCACTAGAAGAAGGCCAGAACCCGCGAGTTCATAGTGGGGGACCTAGTGTTTCCCAAAGTAGTGGGGCACTTGAGAGCCCACTACTGAAAAACTCGGTCCCAATTAGGAGGAGCTTTATAAGGTGGTCTTGATGGGAAGGTCTAGATCATATAGACTGGAGGATTTGGAGGGGGGGTCTGTTCCTTATCCATGGAATTTTCTTAATTAAAGAAGTTTTTTCGTTAAATCAACTTGTTTCTCATTGGCAAAAAAAAAAAGGTATCTTAAAACATGAGTCATGGACTTGGTTGTTAGGGAAACAACCCCGGGTAGGGAAAGTCTCTGCAATGGCAGAGTTCCACGCCCAAATAGACCAAGGAACTTGCCTCCTTTGGGAGGAAATCATACCTGAATTTTTCTTAAATGAATGATGAACTCGGTAATTAGTGGCATAACCTCGGGCAAGGTATACCTCTACAAAGGTAGAGCTCCATGCTCAAATAGACCAGGGACTTGTCCCTTTTAGGAGGGAATCATCCCCGAACATTTCTTACACGAGTGATGAACTCAATAATTAGGAGCATGCCCCTCAACGAGGGTAAGCCTCTGCAAAGGTAGATCTTTGTCCCTAAATAGACTAAGGGAATCGCCTTCTTTGGGATGTAATTGTTCCCAAATATTTCTTTCATGAATAACGAACTCAGTCATTAGGGGCATAGCCTAGGCGGGATAAGTCTATGCAAAGGCATAGCTCTGTGCCTAAATAGACCAAGGCATCCACCCTCTTCAAGAAGAAATCATCCTAGAATGCTTCTTAAACGAGTTATAGACTCAATCATTAGGAGCCCAACATTGGATGTGACAAGCCCCCATCAAGGCCAAGCTTCGTACATAGTTTGCAATGAAGGAAAATGAGAGCAAAAAAGGAAATGAATTCAAATGACCAAGGGATTTGCCTCCTTGTAGCTTACAATGAGAATAAATGAAATTAGAATCCCCACCAGGGTCACTGAACCACTTGGTCATTATCAGCTTTGTCCCTCCCTCCTGACCTTGCCCCAGATCAGTCGTCTCAGTGTACCCACCATTTCCATCCCTATCACCAAATAGATCGTCATAATCCACCATGTCTCTATCGTCTGCTCAACCATAAGAAGCAACATGAGTAGTAGGATCAGCGAGAGTAGTGGAATCTTGCATTGTGGGAGACAAAAGCCTCAAAAGGGAGGGGTATAGGAGCTCATCTTCATCCCCATGCATCACTGATATGGATTATGGCAAGTGGAGGAGGATTTTCTCTAACGTCCATGAACCGGTCTCCACCTTCTTCATCTTCCTCATCAGAAATTGCCGATGGAATGAATACATTTTGGAGGAAGAGGTTGGATTTGGGGGCGACCCTGTCCGCATTAAGCTCAACATTCCAACCTTCTTTAAAGTACTTGGTCTTGGTGTCAACAATGACCTTCACCACTTCCATTTGTAGCTTATTATAAATCTCTTGGCAGACCCGAGCCTCCTTACTCTCCACATTGACTAGGGACTCAGTCATTGTCTCCATTTGGCTTGTTAGGGCAACAAATTTCTTCTTGGCCTCAAACAACTTGACTTCAATAGAGGAAAACTAAGACTCCACCTCATCATTCTCTTTTTGGCCTCGGTAGGTTTCAAATTTTGGAGCTTAATCAAGAGGTCATTCATCTTTTCGATTAGGTTGGAGATCTTTTCACTTGATCCCCATTGACCTTCTCTCGATCCTTCACCACTTCTTCAAGTGTATTTCTTCGATACGTGCCTTGTCACTGGCCCAGCAATAACCCCATAAATGGTCCATATTGATCCCTATTTGTTAAGAAGCCTACACACAAGGAACTACTTAGAAATATGCTGAGGGTAGGGCATAAGGAAGCTAACGCATAATATTGCAGGTGATCTAACCACTAGGACGTTTTGGATCACTTTATAGAGGAGGCCATTATCAGACCTATCACTGTGATTGGCCATGTGGAAGGGCATACTAACTATTAAAGAGTGAATGACCCACTTTTATACAATAGATCCTATTTGAATGCATGGTGAATGATGTGCGAAAAAAAATTGAAGAAGAAGTGTACTGGAGAGAATCTCACTCCCAAGGGCGTTCTTTATGATTGTAAATGTAAAACTCACGTTTACTCTCAACTATCACTACAACAAATTTTCTTTTTAGCGACGAATTGACTCGTCGTAAAATGTATAAATTTCGTCGCCAAAAATTTTATGTGACAAACTCATTTTGTCGCCATTTTGTTGTTTTAGGCTCGTTTGGGAAAGTTTTCAGCAACAACAACAATTTTGTTGCCAAAAATACACAATAGGCGACCATAATTTTGTCGCCAAATATGTTCTTATTTTGTCGCCAATGTTTTGTTTGTCGTCAAAAAATAAATTATTTTAACCACATAAAATCGTTAGCAACGATTATATTCATTGCAAAATGTGAAAACTTCAACGACCATGGCAACAAATATATTTGTCTCCCAAAAAATCAACCAGAATTTTAGCAAGGAATTTTTTTTGTCGCCAAAAATGATGAGCAATGTTTTAGCGACGACTTGTTTTCGTCGCCCAAAAAATGAACATGATTAAATCTCATTTGGCCCTATAACAATTTAAAAACTTATAACAACTCAAAAACATTCCGACCAATTTCAATCATGCACCCATGACAATAGATAATCCATAAAAACACATCACAATTACTAAAACATTAATATATTACTCAAAATATAAAATAACATCCAACAATTTTCAATAGTATCAAACAATATCCAAAACTCCTAACAATTTTCAAAATTTTCAACATCCAATATGCCAACATCTAAAATCCCAACAACAAAATATCTCAAATATTTGAAAGAAAAGATGTCTAGGTATCCAAAAAGAGCTCTTTACAATCCATCTTCAATGTGTGACAAACACAAAAAACTCATTGACACATTATAGATAAGAAGTAAAAGAAAAAATATATGTCCATAGATAAAATAGCTTACCATGATAAATTTGAATTGCTCGGCTACCCAATGCCCCCACCACGTTGCACTGCTAACCTCACCTCTATCATTTGTTGCATCATCATTTCTTGCCACTTCTCAATTTGTTGGAGTTTTTTCTTGGTTTCATGCAGCTCTATCTTCAGACTATTTACCTCCTCTTCATTTGCAATAGTCTTAAACGTCTTTTTTGAAGAAAGTTTCGGTCCAACCCCATAACCTCTCTTATAGCCAGACTTGCAGCCAAAGACGGTATTTGTAATCTCCCCCTCAGACATATGTGATTCACCATCTTGTGTGGACTTGTCTCTTAATTCCTTCATTTGGTTCTAAAATTTTAAAAAATAATTGATAACTTGTTCACAAAGTGAAACTTATCAACCTTATAAATCTCAAATACAATAACATCAATAAAATGTTTATACTTACGTATCGAGACTTAGCTTCTTGTGATATCCATTTGTTCGACTTCTTGCTAAAGTGAGATTCACGAAAGAAATCTACAAAATAAAGTGGCTCCTGGGTCTCGGGATCTTTCTGTTTTAAAAAATTGTATAATTACAACACCTTAAATAAAATAACATACAAAAAAGGTATAAGTTAAAACACTTAACCATAACATGCATTGCAGATGGAAAAGACTTGGAACCCATAGCATGATTGTAGGGTAGCTTGACACGATTTATAGAATTTATTTTAGATCGTTTCTACAAAAAAAATTTAACATAGGTTAGTGTAGGACAATATCCAATTGTAAATAAAAATCAGCAACATTAGTGATAAAATATCAAGTTTTTACCTGAAAATTCTGGATCTTTGAATACATGCTCGATTATATAACTCCAATCATCCTTGCTAACTTGTTTGTAGGGCTCATTTTTTGGGTCCTGGCTAGCCTTCACTAATTGTTTATAGTGATTGTGCATCTTAGAACGATAGTCACTATACAAACGAGCAAACTTAGCTTCAATGTTTTCCTGAACATGTTCTAACTCATTGTATTCAACAATGTCAAACCTTGTCTGTACGAAAAAATAGTACATTATTTTGAACATAAACAATTATATTAATAACGAATATAATAAAATAAGTATAATTACCCGGAGGCGTGCAATGATAGGGGAACACATGTCATCAGACAAATCATTCCATAGGGTCACAATAATTGGGACGAAAGCCCTAGCCAAGGCTCCCATCTAATTAATGCAATGTTGTGCATTTTTCTTGACTGGAACATTCACACCATTAGGGATCTCAACACTCAGCTTCCCATTTGCCTCCACCATCTTCTCTACAGCCTTTCCTTATGTAGGACCTCTCCCTTTCCTTGAGATCGACCTTGACATTACCAAAATATAATAGATGAATAGAGGAAAATATTTTAAAAGTGTCTAATACAAATGAAATCATACCTGTACCACTAGCTACAGTATGTGGACTGCGGGTGGTCGATGTCGGTGATGGGGATTGCACCTCCTCTTGTGCAGTTGCAGGTATAGATAAGACTTTGGGTCGACGACCTGGAGCCATTTATGTTTCCTAAAGAATTATGATACATGAGTCATTATGAAAATAATCAAATTAGAAATACAACAGCTATAACAAAACAAAACAACATACCATTATGAAGAAAATTTGGTTAAACTATCTTTATATTTCAGGATCAACATCTGACTCAGAATGACTTTCCATATCTCCTTCAGAATCACTATACTCTAGTAGTGTCTCATCATCATCATCATCATCATCGTCACAGATGAAATCATCATCGACATCTTTATCTTGTATGTTTTCGGACGACATTACCCATCTGCTCGGGACAAGCACGGGATCAAGTTCAATCCTACAAAATGGGTGCGTATCATGATTTTCAACAATAATAGGGACATCCTCAATGGGTTCTTCTTGTTGGAATGCATGATTTGGAATAGAATGTTCATCATCACCGACATCTACTACATGTCGCTCTGGTATATCCTATATGCCTCGATGTTGGACCCGTTGTACGACTTGCCAATGTGGTCCATACTTGGTATCATTAACATAGAAGACTTGTTGCACTTGATTTGGTAGGACAAAGGGATCATATTTATACCATCGACTCCTAACATCAATACTTGTGAAATATGAATCAACATTCACCGTTTTTCCACTACTGAGATTGAACCATTCACATTGAAACAAAACAACACGATGCCCAAAGATATAACTCATTTCTCATACTTTACTTAAATAACCGTAGAAGTTCATTGTTACATTCTCATGATCCCCTTCAACAACTATTCCACTATTTTGAATTTTACGATGGGTGTCACGATCTTTAGTGTGGAATCTGATGCCATTGGATATGCAACCCGAATACATTTTCACTGAAACATCAAGACCATTTGCTAATGACCATAATTCATCATTAACTTCAAGTGACCCTTGAGATCGCAATTGATTGATCTACAAATGCATCAAATGAAAAAATGCATACATGATTTACACAATAAAATAGAGACTAAAGTACGCTTAATGTTACATTAATAATTTGTCTTACTTGTTTTTCGAACCACTTGGGAAATTCTTGTGGATGATTTATTGTGACATTGTGTTCATTTTGCATTTGTAATAGGTTCTTGTGCTCCCTACATACAGAATATGTGATTAATACAAGGTAAGACAAGATCGAGGTATGTAAGACATTCTCAAATATATAATGGACAACATACTCTAGGTATGAATCTATCTCAAGACTATTATGCAAGACAAACCACTGAGCCATATCGCTTTCCTTTTGTGAAACATCAAATGCATTTCTTATTGGTCCAAAGGGACGAACTTTTTGTTAGAAGACGGTCAATCCCGAAACATATGCAACACCATCATCATTATGCTCCTCTTGATTTAATACAGTTTCAATCCCACTTAGATACATTGAGCAGAAAGTAAGACACTCGTTCACAATATACGCTTCTGCGATTCATCCTTTGGGACGAGCGCAATTGCCAACATACTTTTTTAGAGTGCCAAGGTACCTTCATACAATACAAGTATAATTTAATCTAAGTTCAAAATAGAAATATTGATATCAAAATGATGATTACCTTTCAATTGAGTACATCCAACGGTAATGAACTGGTCCGACAAGCATAGCTTCACGAGGCAAGTGCATAGCTAAATGAGCCATCACATCAAAGAATGCTGGTGGAAAAATCTTTTCCAATTTGCATAGTATTAAGACAATTCGATCTTGTGATGCATCCAAATCTTTAATCTTCAATGTCTTCGAAGATAATTGTTGAAAGTAGTTGCCTAACTCGAACAAAGCAATGCATATTTCTTTTTCAAGAAACCCACGTATTCCTATTGGAATAAGTCATTGTAGCAGAACATGACAATCATGACTTTTTAGACCTGATACTTTTCCATCCTTACTGCTTACAAATCTTGAGATGTTAGTTGCATAGCCATCAGGATACTTCACTAATTTCAAAAAATCACAAAATTCTTGTCTCTCTTTTGGTGATAATGTGTACCACACGAGGGGTTTCACATAAGAATCACCCCGCTGCTGAAGGTGCAACTCTTTCCTTATGACTAGACGAGCTTTTTCAGTGTCCTTGTTCTTTCCATCAATGCTAAGCAACGTTCCAAGAATGTTGTCACATATATTTTTCTCTATATGCATGACATTGAGGTTGTGTCAAAGGTTGAGTTTCACCCAGTATGGCAGCTCGAAGAATATGTTTTTCTTTGTCCAATTAAGTTCATCAGATGTACGTTTACTTTTCTTATTTCTTGGATGTTTACCAAACTTGACATCCGGTAGTGACTGTAGTTGTTCCAAAATTTCATTCCCCGATAGCTCTACAGGTTTCAATCATTTCTCATGTTTACCATCAAATAACTTACTTTGACGCCAAGCATGCTCTTGAGGTAAGAACCGACGATGTCCTGTGTAGCATATTTTACTTCTTAATGGCTGTGATGAAGTATCGTAGTTACAAACTGGGCAGGCCAAATAACCCTTTGTACTCCACCTAGACATGTATCCGTAGGTAAGAAAGTCGTTAATGGTCCACATAATAGCTGCACGCATTCGAAATGTCTGTTTGCTACATGTATCAAAAGTTACAACACCATTTTCCCACAATAATTTCAACTCATCGATTAAAGGTCGCATGTAGACGTCTATATCTCTTCCAGGTGCTTGCGGACCAGGAATAAGCAATGACATCATGAAGAATGGCTCTTTCATACATTTCCATGGAGGTAAATTGTAAGACATAAGTATAACAGGCCACATACTATATGAGTTGCTCATGTTTCCAAAAGGGTTAAAGCCATCAGTCGCCAACCCTAATCGAACATTATGCGGATCTTGGGCAAAGGAAGGGTATTGTTGATCAAATTCTTGCCATTCTTTAGCATCGGCCGGATGCCTTGACCCATTCTCATCATTGACACGTTTTTCTTTATGCCACCTCATATCTGTTGCAGTCTTCCTTGAAAAATATAGTTTCTTCAACCTTGGTTTCAATATAAAATATCGCAATATCTTATGAGGAATCTTCTTACCCTTCCCATCATGGATCCGATATCTAGACTCCCCACATACTGGACAATTTTCTAGATTTTCATTCTCTTTCCAAAATAGTGTACAATCGTGCTTACATGCATGTATGGGAATATATCCTAATCCCAATGCTCATAATAACTTCTTGGCATCATAAATAGATTCTAGAACATGGTTGCCTTCTGGTAAAAAATCCTTGAATATCTCCAGTATCATATTAAAGGTCTTATTGCTCAACTTGTTCAACACCTTCACATGAAGCAATTTTAAAGTAAAAGAGAGCAAAATAGCTTTCATACATCCTGGATACAACTCACGCTGAGCCTCCTTTAGTAATTTTTCAAAATTTTGTACATCTTCCCTCCCATTAATATCATCATCTTCTCCAAAAATCGATTCCCCCAAATTATTATCCATAAAATTCCCCATGCCCACATCCTTTAACATCTCAGGTAATTCATCTTGGGCATCATCCTCAGCATCAGTCAATTCATTTGTGCTGTATAATCCAAGTGGTGTCAAAAGCACAACCTCTAAAAATTCATACCCAACCCCCTCATTTATCCCTTTTACTCCATTTCCTCTGCCCTTTCTCTCTTTCATCAAAACCTCGGAAAGTCTGCTCTTCCTCTTCGTCAGCTTACACCTCAGGGGGAGAATTTCTTCCTTTTTTTTGTTCCTTGAACTTTAAGTAAACCTTTTCTTTAATCGATCAAATTAATCTACCTTCCATTGTTCTTATGGAAGTACATAAAAGTGGCAGTAGGTGGCATACAACCATCCATTTTTCACAAGATAACAACCAGCAGGTGGCATATACATATGTGTGTGTGTGTGTATATACATATATATCCTCTGCACATATGTGATTTTTAAAATGAACAAAAAACCAAAGATACTCACAGTCGATGTGTGTTTCAAGATTTCTAAGTGATTTCTAAAAACCAAACATATGTGATTTTTAAGTTGAACGAACGAATGAAATAAAAATGTTTCATAAATTAACTGAAAGTGTGTGTGTGGTAGTGTGTGTTTCAAGATTTGTGCAGAGAGAAATACTTACAGTCGGTGGAGTAAGAGAGGCGACAGGTGGGGGCAAAATCACAGTGTCGATGGAGCAAGAAAGGGAGACAGGTGGGGGCAGATCGATGAAATTGTCGAAGAAGGGAAAGGGCTTAAGTTAGGGTTTCAAAACGATGTCGTTTTGAAACAAAAAATTATATATTCTGCGACAAAATATCATTTGTTGCCGAAAAAATTATTTTTAACTTTAAAATGACGTCGTTTTAATCCATCAAAGTACACATTTCATTAAACATATTCTGCGACCAAATATCATTTGTCGGCAAAAAAAATTAATTTTAACTTTTTTTTCTACGACAAACATTTATTGTCGCCAAGTATTATCTTTCTTTCTTATTTTTCGTAAATTTGTCAAAAATTTTGCAACCGAAAAATTTTTTTCGTGACAATTTTTTTGTTGCCCATAAAATTAACATTTCGAGCCAACTTTGGCACCAATTTTTTTTGGAGAGAACGTTTTTGCAAAGACTATTAGCAACAACTAAAAAAAATAGTCACCAAAAATATCATAAAAAAGTTTACCGCGAGAAACATTTGAAATTGTCGCTGAAAATCACTTTTTTACAATAAATTTTATTGTTTGCCGCCAAAATTTGTCGCTAATAAACAAATTTGTTGCAGTGTATACTCACAATCTCACTTTGTTCCTTCAACTACTATGTGTCTCACATTGACTAGACAATTGTTTGAATTAGTTTAACATAACCTTAAACACGGATGTTCGCCATGTTTTTGACGAAAAATAAAATCATGTTTGGGGGGTTTTGGTCCAATCCATAAAAAATGCTTGTTATTCTTGATTATGGATGAAGGTGAAACATAAGAAACATAATAGTTAGGAGACAATGTATGATATCTCCTTAGTTACGGGGTTGAAGTGCAATTCTTTAAGTTGTTAACTTCAAAAATAAACATAAAATAAATGTATAGGAAAATTACAATTTGACCCCATTTACTATGGCTCTGGCCTCACCTTGCCCCACAACTGTTGAGTTTCTCATATTACCCAAGATGTTAAAGAAGATGTGCAAACAGTAATTGTATTAATAACTTATGTAATGTCTCTTCAATTGATATGTTTAGCCACATTAGTCTATCTCAAGAATGGATCCACAAATTATGATTAGGAGGAACTTTTATTCGAAAATACTCATGGGTACGGCCGTATGTTGAAGTGGAACATTTTTGGTCCTTCAATTATAGTGTGTATCTTAGTCTATCCTTTCAACCATCGAGTTTCTTAAATTGCCTCTCCACAACTATTTGAATGAATTTTACTTTGCCTCAAACTTAAATTTTTAGTGTATTTTGGGGATCTTAGTTTAATTTTTTAAGTAGATAAATTCACCAATAAAGACAGAACTATTGTATATAAAAAGAGAATGAATTCTTTACAGTCTTCCTGTAAATAATTATTTACAGAAAATCAATCAAAGTGTGACAACTACACAAACACAAACTAATGTTGAGAATTCCTAATAAGTTAGTGTAACTATCAAATTTTGATTAACTGTTTGTACACATTAAACTTGACCCAATCTTTTATGGCTGCGACCTCGTTTTACCCTCCTTGCATTACTCTTTCATCAAGAATTGGGTTTTGACATTATTCCAAAAAAACTTGTTTGTTATTTTTTGAAAGGAACTGGGGATGCAATGTGAGGCACAATCTAAACGATTGCGGAGGCTCTATGTATCTCATAATTCAAATAGCATCTATACTGTAAATAACATTTCTGTCTTTTAAATCCATAATACCACCTAATCTGTAGAAAATCCAATAAAAACATCTACCAAACTGAAAATAACTGACACATGAAAAGAATAATAATCGAACCTGTAGAACACAAAATATATACAACAAGCATTGCATCTGATCATCAGGATTTTCAAAATCTATTATCATTTGAATGCCTATTCATGCTCTCATTGCAATACCCGTCTACAACCAGAACTTTCACAACTCCCAGAAGCCTTGGACACTTGCTCTTTAACTCTGCTTGAAACAGTAGATCATAAAAATTAAAATTAAAATCCTTAAAAAAACTCCAAATTGTTTTTTTTTGAAAAAACAAATAAAACTAACAAATAATGACAAGGATGAAGAAATGCTACCTTCCCTGGTTCGGGAAAATCTGGGACTTTGTACCTCTCCGGTGTTATTTCTGTCAACCATTTCCCCGGAAAAAGTGACTGCAAAAAGTAGATGCTACAATTCAGTTTCACACTCGCACATACACGCACAGAGAGAGAGAGAGAGAGAGAGAGAGAGAGAGAGAGAGAGAACTAGCTAGGGAGTCATAGACACAAAAAGAAAATACGACAATTATGCATGTATAAAGCAAAAGCAACCAAAATATGAGCATTTGCCACAGAACTGAAATTGAAAAAAAAAATGCAGAAAAGAAATGATTTTGTTCTGACATCCCATTGCTTCTGAACGGCCTTAGGCTTCTTCTTGGGCCTCCGAGGGGGTTTCGCTCCAGTCATAGCCAAGAAATCACTCTCAATCTCTTCTTTTGTGAGGGTAAGCGAGAATTTAGGTCTCTGGCTATTCTCTCCCATCTCCAGAGTCTCTTTTTCAGTTGCCACCACATTTCTCAACCGAGTAGATTTCACCGTTGCCACTGGACTCTCTTGCTTCCCTGCATGTCCTCCGCCACCACCGTCAACTCTGTCGCCTCCGCCGCTGCTTCCACAGGACTCGTTTGGACCCTTATACGGAGCTCTGCGAGACCGCAAATTCGATGGCTTGGGAGAGTTTGATATGTCTGATTCTTTCTCTTTCTCTTTCTCTTCGAGAACTGGGACTTTCATTCTATCGGCGGCGACTCTGAGATCGGTCATGAGCTTCTGACGGACACCCTCGATTCCGTCATTATCAGAAACACCACCGTTTGGGTTTAATGGAGATTTATTCGAGCTCTTTGAAGGATTAGAAGATCTGGGTCTGATCAGATCATTTCTGCGTCGAGTTCTTCGGTTTAAGCCGTCGGAATCGGTAGCTTCAGAAGCTGAGGATCTACTATGATCGGTGGAGGTATCGCCGGTGGTGATGGAGTTGTTGTTATCAGATTTCATGCATTGGAGTAATCTTTGGTTGCCCCATTTCAACCGTGGCAAGGTGAAGTTGTGAAGATTCCTTGTTGATCTATCTGGAGGCACAGCCATCAAATTCAGAGCTTCGTCTCCTATGGGTTGAATTTATCAATAGGTGCGACAGTGGGCTTGTTTGTTTGTGTTTGCGAAAAGATAATTTGAGGGTTTGAGGGAGGTGAGGCGTGGTGAGAGAGAGCTGTGGTGGTCTGAACACTACCGGCTAGCAAGTGTATATATATATGACAGAGAAAGGCTTAACGTTCGGGCTGGCGAACGGGTATTTGTTTCCTAATTAATGGTTATTTTGTAAATTTTCCGTTTTCTTGGCTGAATTTTCTTTTTCAAAAAAACAATTTACTTATCCTAATTTGTTCTTTTGCTTAAAATATATGCACGTAGGATATAAATATATGTATATGCATGTGTATGTACTTGTGCTTCAAATATTGGTACCTTGCACTCAGTAGCGATGTATAGCAAAAAATATTTTCCCTACTTATTGCACGACCAGTAATTAAAATTATCTATTGAAATATGTACTATGCATTTTCTAGATGCAGATGCTTACTTATTCTTACTATTATTTTTTTTTCAGAGAGATAGAGAGAGAAAAAGTTCTAACGGTCATAATCTACCTGTAATCTATCAGTATATATGTAAATATATGTCAGCAATGGTGAGATAATAATTTTAGTAATTCCATTAATATATACTGTTATATGGTAATTTATTAAGTTTGAATTTTTAGATGGTCATTGATGAATTATGAAATAGTCATCAAACAGGCACATGGCAGTAAGTCGGGCACGTGAACATTGGGCACGTGAAGCTCCCCTTCATTAAAGGGCTCCATTAACAACTTTGTAGCCAGCTCGCTCATATCCCATAGAAATAGCTCACACCAAATTAGATACTCTTTGAGGGAGTTCCACGACCACTAGTTAGACCCTAATATGAATTTTGAGCAAGACAATCAAGGATGGTAAAGACTAGGCTGATCAGTTGCCAGTGGCATTGTGGACCCATAGAACCTCGAAGGGAAAATCCACTGACATGACTTCTCATTCACTGGTCTATGACAAGGAAACAGTACTCCCCACAAAAATAATGGAACCCCACGCGAGGCTGACGACCAGATCTGAGGTTAGACACACAGTGCTAGAAGCATTCGATGAACATGGGGATGGGGCAAAGGAACACTTGGAGAAATATCATCATAGAATGTCTAAGACCTATAACTCGACAATAAGGCCAAGGGCCTTTCAACAAGGCGACCTAGTGCTAAAAATGATCTTAAGTGTTATGCATGGTTTATCCATTCCTAAGTTCGCCATCAAGTGGGAGGGACCTTTCAAGGTCTGTAGGGCTAAGGGACAACAGATACGGCGAAATCGGGCACGTCGGGTCAGAGAAAACCATGGCAAAGTTTAATGTCAAGTGGCTGAATCTATACTACTCATAAGGAAAACAAATGTAAACATCTATAGAAAACATGTAAATGGATTTTGTAGACAAAAATGTAAACACCAATTGATATATATATATATATATATAAATTGTCTTTTTTTTTTGGTTACATTTTGTGGAACAAGAGATATATACAAGAAACAAAACTACAAAAATCCATCAGCAAATGGGATATCCATGTCAAAAATCCCCAACAACCTCTACAACTTGCTCACATCCTTTGAGTAACCGCTCGTAGGTCACCAAAGTATCCTGTAGCGCCTCGAACCTATGTCACACAATTTCACTCTCAGCCCACAAATAGTCAACTAGCCTCCGCATGTGCTCTCTATCATCTAAAATGCAGGCATGAGCGATGCGGTCTCCTAGGATCACAATGGCAATACCAAAAGACAACAAGTCCCAGATTGCACCTTCCAGGCTAAGAAGATCACTCGGACCAAGCTCCCTCACTAACAAATGGTGACAAGTATACACCAAGGATGGCAGAAGGTCTAAAGCAAAAGACGGAATCTACCACTCCTGTGCAAACAAATGACAAAGTATCATGGGGAAGCACTTCAATAAGCTCTCAAAGATAGGGATACTCCTCCAGGTGATGAAATACTCAACGCGTCATGATATGATCTCCTCATCGTGGCTTGGACCCTCATACAGATGAGGTAGGGGAATGATAGTGGCTTTGGGAGGTTGTGAAGGCCCACATTCCTCGATAACACAGGTAGTGGTGGTTGACCTGATCCAAAATGTGTACACCCACGTGCAAGCGGCCAAGTTGTAATAATAATTCGGTAAAGTCCGAAGTCGAATCCACAGGGAACTATAATTGGTGTTTTGAAGTAAGCAATAATAGAGACCAAGTGACTTGGAAATTTTGAGTGTTTGGAGTGGTGGAGTTTCTTGAATATAATAGAAGATTCTTTTCAAGAGTTTTCTAGACAAAATATAAGATTCTCAAAAATGTACAGCCACCATTTAGCTTGAGGAACAGGACATGTAATAGAGTATCCATTTTGTAATGTTTGTGCTTTATAACTCAATTAACTCCCGTGTCAACAGCAAGTTAATCGAAAGATAAAGATGGACTGTGAGAATTAAGCATATGATTCCGATGCCTTTCTAGAAGTTTACAAGAATTATCTATGCCGAGACTTAACCTGTCTACAAACAAGTAAGTGTTTCTACAAGGTATCCAACCATGGCATTAATGATCCATTCTTTGAATAAAGTGCAATGATAGTGGGGATTGAAAGGTTGTCATGAAGAGCTAGCCGGGGTACTTGTATTGAACCAACAGATCTTTCTATGTTGGAGTCATCCGTATCATAAATGGAGCCCTGGTTATACAAAGGACCTCAATCTTTGCTAGGTACATTCAATCACCCACTGAACAGGTGGAGTATAAACCATTAAAGCATGAAGAAGTTGTACAAACATAACTTTCGGATACTCTTTACATATTTATCACCTCTTACTAAAGAGTGAATGAAGAACTACTCACATTTCATGGTCTTGGCAAAGCTAGAAAAATGAGTGTTACTCATCCCTCTAAGTAGAGATGCTACTAAGTAAAGCAAACTAAACAAAGAGCTTTTCTTCAATGAAGAATAAGTGAATCACTTTCCACCCTTCACGGCTTTGGTAAAGCTCTAGAAAAGTGAAAGAGTTTCACTCTTCTAAGAAAGAAGGATGTTCAAGCAATGGAAGTGAAATACATAAATAATAAAAGTAGAAGAAAGCTAGTTGCTTTTGGAGGGTTTCCACCACAACCAAAAGATGAACTACCTCTCTTGATACTTGGTAAATAAAAGCAAGTACAACTACAAGGGGAGTCTAAGCCTCCATCATGGTTGTCACAACATGAATGTAAAAACTTAGCATAAGTAAATGAAAGACTTCAACTACAAGGGGAGTCTAAGCCTTCATCATGGTTGATATAAATGGAAAATGAAAGCATAAACATGAAATGTGCAAGAACTAGATTACTAAAACACTCTTACTTTACAAGAATAAAGATTGTTCCCTCCTTTCTCTACAAGAGGAAGAATGCCCTTTAAGCTCCCAACAAGGGAGTATTTATAGGCAAGGAAGGGGAGGAGGGGGTAGGAGATAAGTGAGGATGAGTGAATAGTATTTGCCGCCCATGGGAATCAACTATTCTACAGGCAGTCTGCAGGGGGACGTTTGAATGTGATCTGGCGTTCGAACGTGAGATCACGTTCGAACGTTGTCTGTGTCTTTGCTTTGAGGGCGTTCGAACGTGAGATGACGTTTGATTTCTTCCACTCAAGTGGTCTATGGTCACTGACTTGGTCACTTCCATACGCCTTGAACAACCTTGACTGAACACTCAGCAACTCCTTAGTCACTCAAGACAACGTTCGAACGTGGAGTGACGTTCGAACATTATACTCAAGTACTTCTGGTTTTTCTTTTTCTTTTTGTTGACTGCAACACGTCATGTCTCAGCAGCTGGTCTTGTCAGGGTTTCAGAGGACGTTCGAACGTTCTTGCTTTGTTCCATCCTTCTGCATTTTTGTTCCCTTTTGTGCTAGTGTTACATTCAAGTGTGATTTTTGTTGTTCTTAAGCCTTTGTTCACTTTAGGATCTGAAATGTCATTACTTAAACTCCATCAAAGCACAATTAGTCCAAAAATGCATAGTAAAAATTTTTAACTTTACGCACGAATCGGGTAAAAACGGGTGACAGGTGAAAAATATACAAATTCATACACAACACGTTTAATAAACGGGTAAAAATTTTCAACACGAACACGAACCGTTTATTAAACAGGTAACACAACACAACTCGTTAAACCCATTTAAAAATAATTAAAAAATATATTATTATTTTAACAAATTTTTACACTTAATTTTTTTTTTCTTCTAACTGTACTTTTCTCAATTTGAAAAGTTTCAGCCAAAAATCTGTGTGATAAGCTGCACCACACAAATTAACTTAAAGGATGAGGCCACTGCCTATTTTATAGGCCAGTAAAGTCCATTCTCCACTCCCCTGTGTCGATGTGGGATGCAAAGAAAAGGCATTCAATGCCTCAATGGCCATTCACTGCCTCAAAGCCCCCTCTTCCTTACTTTCTTTTTTTTTTTTGAAATATTTTCTTTACTGTTTTTTCTTTACTCATTCATTATTTTTTATATATATAAAATAATTATTAATTTATTATTATATTAAATTTATTTAAATGAATAAACAGGTGATAAACGGGTTGACATGTCTCACCCAAACATAACCCGTTTATTAAATGTGTTTGGAGGCTCAACCCATTTACTGCCCAAACCCGTTAAGGTCTCACCCAAACCCGTTTAATTCGTGTCAGTTAATCGTGTCGTGTCAGATTTTGACAGGCCTAATTATGTTGCACCTAAGGAGATATGTCTTATTGAAAAGCAAATAGCGGTGCATGTTGTCAACATAACTCAAAAAATCCCCAAGAGGAGAAGGAATACCCTGGTCTAACCCAAACTAAAGTGCCAATTGGTGTAGATTATAAGTTGCGACCCTAATGCCCCTATTTGTAGAATAGGGAAGGTATCCCCTGGTAAAATAAGCAATAAAATCAAAATAGTGGTCAGATGCAAT